AAATTGGATGGTTCCACCCAGCTAATTGGAATCCTAGAGGGCATTAGTGACCGTGGTAAACATTTCTGCAATTTTTATTTTCGGGTGAAAAAAAAGTAAAAAAAATTCCAAAATTAAAAGCTAATATCCACGCTTTAAGAAATTTTGGAGTTTCGGGTAGAAGTGTCAGTTCGGGTAAACGGGTCGGGTTTGGGTCGGTAAGAGTGGGTCAGGTCAATTCGGATTAATTCCATAACCTATGCGGGTCATGTTTGAGTTGGGTCATGCTTGAGTCGGGTCATGTCGGGTCATACTTCTTATCGGGTATGGGTCGGGTTTAGGTCGGGTCACATTCGGGTCGGGTTTTCACGAGTTAGGGTAATTTTCGGGTTCGAGTAGGATTCGGTTCAAGTCAATAATTTGCGGGTTATAATCAGGTCGGGTCATTTTCAAGTCGTGTCATTCTTGGGTTCAAGTCGGCTTCGGTTCGAGTCAATGATTTGCGGGTTATAATCAGGTTGGGTCATTTCCAAGTCGGGTCATTCTCGGAGTCAAGTCGGATTATGTTCAAGTCAATAATTTGCAGGTTACAACAGGGCGGGTCATTTCCAAGTCAGGTCATATTCGGGTTCAACTAACTATAAATAGATATTTATCATCTTTATCAAGTTAATTATTTTTTGAATATAATATATATGGCAATATACTAGGGAACTATAGTTTATAATTTAGTAAGATAATTATCTCCTTTGACCATAAAACAAATATATACTATATTTAACTCTTAAATTAAAGGATGATGCTCCTTTCTTTTGCTGGCCTGGACCAACTTGGTCTCCGTAGACAAAATGCTTTGATCAACAATAATAAGGTGGTCTAAATTGCATTTAAGGTGATTTGAAATCGGGCCAGGTACAATTTGGGTTGAATTTAGGTCGGATCAATAGCAAGTTGTGTTGATTTCGAGTTTGATTAGTAACAGATCGGGTTGAATTTTTGGGTCGGGTTAGTAATAGGTATATTAAAATTCGGGTCGGGTCAATAACAAGTCGGGTTGAATTTGGTTCATGTCAATAACAAGTCGGGTTGATTTCGGGTCGGGTTTGTAACATGTTGGGTTAAATTCGGGTCGGGTTAGGAACGGATCGGGTTGAATTCAAGTCAGGTTAGTAACACGTCGGGTTAAATTCGGATTTTGACGGGTTAAAACAGGTTTGGTCAATTTCAGTTCAAGTCGGGTTCGGTTCTAGTCAATAATTTACGGGTTACATTCGGGTCGGGTCATCTCCAAGTCAGTTCATGTTCAGGTTCGTGTCTCACATACTCGGGTCAACTCGGATTTAGGGTTGGTTTCAGGTCGGGTTTGGGTCACCATTTTTTCGGGTTCAGATGGGCCGGTTAATAATCGAATTTGAGTAGGTATTTCGGGTCGGGTCAACTTTTGACAGCTCTATTCGAAACTATAGGTTTTGCTTCTAGGATAATCATATTCAATTTTGTCCATTCGTAGGAACTCAAGCCCTCAAGGACTGTGATTTGAATTTTGCTCTTTAAACAATTTGTGTGTGTGTGTGTGTGTGTGAGTGTGTATACTGTTGCTATACATGTACATTTTTTCGTATATCATCCATATTGTTACCTTATAAATGACCTATTATATCATCTAAAAAAGGTTTAATGAACAGGATCCCCAGCCTCGTACTGTCATTCCTCTTTGGAAGTCCAACATTGTGGAACCAAAGTTTCACGAGTCAGATCCCTCCTTGACAATCTTCAATGATTCAACTGGTTAGCTCATCACTATTAATTATTATTTGGCCGAACTCACTTCTTTTTGGCATGCCTGCTCTATGTTTGCCTGTGAATCTGTGATGGCTGTATGTGGATTAATAATCTGATGAAGTTATTGAATTGTAACCCCTGTCCACTTTTTTGCTGGGTCTCTCTTACATAATTTCTCTTCCTGTGTTTTTCAGGGTCCCGTTATAAATTTTTATCTGCCATTGAGGGAGACAAGCAGCAACTTGGTCAGTTACACAGTGCTTGCAAAGGTTTACTTAAGGTATGTACTAAATAATCTAGTATTTATTTGGGATCAATTTATGCCTTGTGACTATTGTGCTCTGGCATACCCAAAGTTTTCTGCTTGGTGACTTGATGACTTTTTGTTATGATAGTGTTTGGATAACTTATTATCTTCTTGCAAAATTTGTATTGAAGATCAATTTGCTCAAATTTTTAGATTGGCATTGGAGATTTTTCATTTAACTTTTTCCCACTGCTTATACTGAAACCAACGTGTACCGACTAAAAAAGAGAAGAAAAGTTTGGCTTGTAATGATGGATGGAGCTGAATTTTATTCTTATCCCTTTGTTTCCATGGAGCTGAATTTTATTCTTATCCCTTTCATTCTCCTAAGCCCTTACACTGAACTTTGAAACCACAAACCAAGTTTCCTTTGTATATAATTACCTCTTGCCACATCTCATCCCTTGGATTGGGGTATCTCTGGAACGGCTCCAGAAAATGGACCTGCATGTTCTGAATCCTATGACTACCAAACTTAATGCCTTTGAATCTTAGGGTGGTTGGCCTATCATCTAGATTGTACTGCCATGGCCTCTGAATCTCTGATGGTCTCATTGAGCTTACATCAAATTGTTGTAACTCTGAGATGATGTAGCCTATAGCTTGGGTGCTCAAGAGTTTCTCCTTGGTTGAAGTTTTAGAGCATGCGGCCCACAATTCAAATTCATAAGATAAAGACCCAATGGCTGAAATCTATAGATCAGAGTCATCGGAACTCCAGGCTGCTCATGACTTGCCCAGCTGAGCAGTAGCTTACAGATCCAGAACCCATCCAAGAAAACAAACCTATGTATCTCAAATATCCAACATCGGTCGTTGTAGGACAGAATCTATGCTATAACCAGCTTTGAGGCACCCTTTGGAGTAGTACCAAAACCTATCTTCTAAATTGTACTGCATGTTTTTCTTTATTTCTCTTCAGTAGATTTTCTGCATCCTTGATTCTTGGGTTCTGACCACCTCCGAAATTGGCTATCTAGGTTATGCCTTCCCCTCAGCTGTTCAGTGCTGGAAGCTCTTCACAACCCGAAGTTAACACAATCAATCAGCCGGAACTTTCAGCGGGCTCGAACTCTCAATCAAGTTCTGCTACAAATGTTTGGAGTGACCTTGATAGCAATGTTACTCATAGTGAGTGCGGCCAATCTAGTGTCCCACCTCCCACAAAGGCAAGCTGCAATGGATGGGCAGATGAACCCACAGCACAAGAATTAAATGGATGGGGCGATGAACCTGCAGCACAAGAATTAAATGGATGGGCTGATGCTGATTCAGGTCCAACCATGCCCCCAGTCAATCATACAACTGTCACCTCAGCACCTATCCCTTCAGCTCCATCAGCTCCTCCCTTACCCATGGAAGGTGTAGTTGATGGGCCTATTCATTATCCAACAATCGATATGGACCCTGTTAAGTTGTCTGTTACCAGTAGCGAAGCAAATGGTAAAACAGAAGAGCCTTGTTGTGTGATATGTTGGGAAGCCCCAGTTGAGGGGGCTTGCATTCCTTGTGGTCATATGGCTGGTTGTATGTCTTGCTTGTCAGAAATCAAATCCAAGAAAGGGCTTTGTCCGGTTTGCCGAACAAAGATTGACCAGGTTATCAGGCTATATGCTGTTTGAAAGGGGCCAAATTGTGCAATTTGTATCTTATACTTGTTATGCTAGTCTGTCTATATTGTATACTCAGAAATCAGAATGTTTACAAACAGAGTGTGTTATAGATGTACTGTAGATATATACCAAGTCATATACTTTGGAAAATTTGTTAATTACTACCTTTTATATAATCAATTTTGCCATCACTTACCATCTTTCCAGTTCCATTTTTTATTTTTATTTTTTCTGAAAATTATTATCTCAGAAACCATTTACATATATTGATGTAGGATAGTAGGATTTTTAGTTTAATATACGTGATTGCATTAATAAAATCCCTAATTGTCCATATCATAAAATTTGAAACCTTTGCTTGTCAAATCAAGGCTTGATCTCAACCTGTACAACCTAATTTCAATATTAAATGGAAAATTAATAATTTTTTCAGAATCTAATTTTTTTTTTTAATTTTTTCAAAATCTAATTTAATATATACATCTATAACATTAAATATTAATTTCAATTAAACTTATTGATTAACTTATTATAAGATATGTTTGTGTTTACTAATCGTCCATTTTAACGTAACTTACTATTTTTCTAACCGAAAAAGGTTTCGCTTTTTTCACTAAATCTTCTCTTTCCTTATACTTCGTATATTGATTTTGTTACTATAGTACACATAATTTGGAAAGAAAAAAAAAACAGATAGAATACATGAATTAATTGTCACACTATTATTACGAAGTATTATTATCTGATAAAAAGGTTTTATGTTATTTTTTGGATTTTTTGACATTTGCTACCACTAAAAACATCTCTCTTCAGATTCAGTACCAATTTTTTTTTAAAATTTTTTTTGCTACCAGCCAAAACAAAGTTTGTTAAAAATCAATACCACTTGTCTTCAACCGTTAGTATTTCCGTAACCACCACCCAACCACCGTCCAGCCACCACTCCTTCCCACCCACTGCCTAATTCGCCGCCACTATTCAACATCAAACCCACCGCAACCACCACCCAACCACCAGCCCTTCCTCACCCACAGACCCACCAGCTACCCAAGCCACCTCCACCGTCGCCTGGGAGCCCAATCCCCTGCTCGCGAATCCGGCCACCTAGCCCCCATGTCGGCGCCGGCGTCACGACCCTCTTCTAAAAATGTCTTTCCAGCCCCGATCCCAACCTCGTTCCCAGCCCCCCTCCCCTTGAAAACCCGATCCAAGCCCCTTCCCCTCGATACCCGATCCCACGGTCTGGGTTTAGTGGTTTCGGGGGTAGTCGTGGTCTGGGTTCATGGGTATAGGGTTGTCGGTGGTGGTGGTCTGGGTTCGGGGGTATAGGGTTGTCGGTGGTGGTGGTCTGGGTTTGGGGGTTAGGGTGGTGTCGTGGTGGTGGTGAGATCTGGGTTCGTGGGTTTTGGGTATAGGGTTGTCGGTGGTGGTGGTCTAGGTTTGGGGGTTAGGGTGGTGTCGTGGGTGAGGTCGCCGGCGCCGACCGACTCTTTTGGCGCCGGCAGGTGGGAGGGGGAGGGGTGGGTGGCAGTTTAGGGGAGGGGGTGGCTGGGTTTTTTCTTTTTTTAATTTTTTTTTAATTTTTTTTTTTTTAATAAACTTAACGGAAATCCTAACGGATTCCGTTAAGTGGTAGTTATTTTTAACAAAATCTGATTTTGGTGGTAGCAAAGTAAATTTTTTTTTTTAAATTGGTACCGAATCTGAAGAGAGGCGTTTTTAGTGGTAGCAAATGTCAAAAAATCCATATTTTTTTTATTATAGTGATATACTAATATAGTGTGTAAAAGTAGGACGTTTGCAAACTTGGAAATTAGTACATCAAGAAACCAAACAAGTTCATACCTAAACAATAACTGTTATACTTTATAAAACTTCTAGATAGTATAATTTTTGTTGACATTTTAAATTTTAGTGTACCCTTGACCTTGAAATTATGAACTTTCCTACACATTACATAGTGACATAAACCTCAATACCTCCTCATACGAAAAATACTAAAATTATCTTCCCTAAAACATCATCAAATTCATCCGTTTAATTTTACTATTGGGATAATGGTCATACTCCCTTTGTTTTGTAGGTGTTATATTTTTCTATTGCAGTCTTTTTTTAAGTGTTACATTTTTTTAGCAAACCGCTATAATACATTTTAATATTATAATATTTATCTCCTCTCAAGGTCCTCATCATTCGTACCAAAACCTTTTTCTGTTTTAATTTTTTTTTTTCTCATGTATCCTTTAACTTTTCAATAAATTATTACTCCCATTATAAATATAATTAAAGATAAATTCCGATGAGAGAAAATTTATATAATTATATCGTCATACACCTTATGATGGAACATATCGAAACTTCATAGAATTTTAAACCACAAAGAATGTTCTATGCAAGTGCACAAGTCCAAATTTTCAACATATACATTAGAAAATGAAGTATATAAAAACTTTCATTTTCAAAGACATATATTTTTTTTCCTATCCAAAATCATTTGTTAATTTTCATAAATAAATAAAATTAAGCTTGAATTGTCAACCTTTTGACTAAAAAACCCGCTTGTTTCTCAACTCTAATATTTTTCTGACTCTTTCTTATTCAATACAATCACTCTGTCTTTACCTGCTAATTTTTCTCTGCTTTCATACCTTAACTCTGTTACTTCTCCTACATTATTAATAATCTTACACCCCAATTTTTAAAGGGTTTTTCTTTTTATTTGTTCCCCTTTTTATATAAATTTTTTTTATTGTTTATAATTATTTTTCCACTTTTTCTTTGGTTTTTTTGTTATTAATTTTTATTTGTTTTGAGAGAAAGTAAAAATGGGACAAAAACAATCAAGAGATAAACTGTTGTACGATTATGTTATTAATGGAGATGTTGGTGGTATTCAATTTCTCTCTAAACAAGGCGCTGGTCTAGAGGTAATTTATCTACTGTAACTTATTTTCCGTGTACAATAACATGTCGTTTTAATCAGGTGCACCATGAGCACAGTGCACGGTGCATACATGCACCATCGATATCACACAAATTACTAAAGTACTGGTGTAGTAAGTTGTGTTATGCATATAATTGTTACTTTGTATCAAGTGTGATCGTGTGGAATCTATGTTACGTTTAGCCTGTATATATGTAACATAGATTTATTGCTGATTTTTCTTTTGGGTATAGTTTTAGCTAATATTATGATAATAAGATGCTTGTGATTTGATGATTTTTTAATTTTTTTTTTATTATTATTGTTGGTGATTTGATAGTGGAAAAAAGAAGGGAAAACTCCTCTTATTGTAGCAGCCAAGGATCCTGGTCTGTATGATATTGCCAAAATTCTCATTGAATTGGGTGCCAATGTTAATGCTTATTGTAAAGGTAAATTTTCTGATTTTTTTTCAAGTTCATATTTTTTTAAGGGTACTGATAAAAATGAAAAAAGAAAAGTCAAATATTAATTACAAGATCATCCTAATTTAGATCTTGTTTACAAGATGTTTGATGGTCAAGAAAGTTACTTTAAACCCGGGTTTGTTTTTCATCATATACAGAGAGTCATGGAGGAACACCACTACATTATGCAGCAAAGGAAGGACTAAAAAACACTGTTGCATTACTTCTTACACATGGAGGTATGTCTATTTTTAGAAGAACTTCGAAATCATGTACTACTGAATACAGGATATGTCAAATTAGTCAGTCGAGTTGGGTTTAGGCTCATCAACCTATTTCTTTATCCTGGATTTGAAGTATTTTTGTACTGATTTTAGTTTACTTTTGAGATTCCAAACCAGCCTAGGTTGGCAGTCTATCAGTAATACTAGTTTTTGACATTCTATCAGTACTGTTAGTTTTTGACAGTCCATCAGTACTGATAGTTTTTGACAGTACATCAGTACTGATAGATTTTGACAGTCCATCAGTACTATGATCAAAAGGAATCTCAGAATTGGCAATGTACATTATAACAACAGATTAATGCTCTTGTATGAATGTACAGCCAATGCTTTTGTCAAGAATCGAGAGCGTCAGACTCCACTGGATGTTGCTAGGAAGAATGGTCGTAATCTTGTTGTTAAAGAGATTGAGGTTTGATTTGCTTAAATTCTTGTTGTTCTTGCTACAATACTTTCATAGTTAAGCTGTGTTAAATAATACTTTTTGTTCCTCAATGTTCTTAAATTGTTTCTTTTCCCTTTCTAGAGCCGTATTTGCTATTTTGCTGGTCCAATACGCGAAACTTTGGGCCCAGGATGGTCTGATGTACCAGCTCCACAATCATCTTCAACAAGAATAAGGTCAGTAATTTTACTTGCCTGATTTTTTTTGTACTAACATTATTTTTTTCGTGTGTTCTGCTCAAATGTGATTTTTACATCAAACTATATCTTGTTCTTGTGCAGTTGGATTGTTGTAGTACCTCGCAGTCCTCATAATCCTCCAAAACCTCCGAAAATAGAGCTTGTTATCTACTCAACTGCTGAAGTATGTTTTTTCTTTAAATGTTCAATTTTTTTTATTACTAGCATACACTACTAGTATCAATCAAATTTAATTGTTGAGCTGTAATTGGCAAATTGGCTAAGCTTTGGGTTGGTCAATTTAGTTTTGATCACATTTTCTCGGTTGGATTCACCTTGGGTTAGCTTTGTTAAAACATTTGCTTGTTGGTGGAATTAGACTGCATTGTTCCCTATAGAAATGGATGAGTTTAATACTTTCAGTAATCAGTACTGTAATCTGCTAGTGCCATTCAATTGTTGCACTTTTAACATATTAGTGTTTCTTCTTGATCTGTTGAGCAGGATGCTGAGCCTCGTAAAATTATCTCTCTTAGTCGGTATAGTATAAAAGCTCCAAGATTCGATCAACCAAGTCCTTGTTTGATAATTTCCAACAAACAGACCAGTGAGTTCATACATGTTCATCTTTTGACTACCCTGCTCTTATTTTCTGTTTAGCTTGATATATCATGCGTTTAAATTGAGGTGAAGAAGCTATTGGAAAGAAAGTATACTGATCTTTGTTCTCTTGTTCAGAATATAAATTCTCATCAGTTACCTACAGCGACAGGCAGCAGCTTCGACGATTGTACAATGCTTGTAAGGGAATCTCTCAGGTGTTTTTTTGACTGACATGATTTGTGATATCTAGCTAAAATAAGATTGACAGCCCCCTGTATGAATTGAGCTTAGTAGCTTAGGCGAAACTTGTGACGTGAACTCTTTTCAACTAAATATTGCTTATAAGATTGACAGCCCCCTGTATGAATTATAATTGAACTCTTTTCAACTAGATGTTGCTTATTTTAGCTTACTTGAGCGAAATTAAGTGCAAAGGAATGACAAGCTTCAACATGAACACTGAATGCTTCATTTTCCGAATGACATGTATGCAGGTCATGCCAGCCTCGGCTCAGATGATGATCTCTGATGCTATTGGTCCACCAATGCATACAGCCTCCCAAATCAGTAGTCCTGCATGGAGAACACCCAGTAATTTATCACCTCCCATGACACCCCACAACAGTGTTTGGGTGCACGAATCACCAAGGCGCAGAGATCACTATGGTGGCAACCACTGGGGTGCTACACAATTGAATCCTGTACCCTTGCAGACACCTGATAGATTCATGCAGACACCTAATAGAGTCTTGCAGACACCTGATAGGTTCCCTGCAGTGGCTGTAGCTTCTCCTCCGATCCCTTCAGCTCCTCCGATCAATAATACTTCAACTAGTATCGATGAAGTTTTCAATCCATCTGCTGAGTCTGCAGGACAAAAAGCACCTGTTGTTACTGAATCGACAGTGTGTGTAGTATGTTGGGAAGCTCCAGTTGAGGGAGCGTGTGTCCCATGTGGGCACGTGTCTACGTGTATGTCTTGCTTGAAGAAGATTAAGGACGATGATGGAGGTTGTCCCGTTTGCAGAGCTGAGATTGATCAGGTTGTAAAACTCTATGGTATCTAAAGTTAAAGAGAGAGATATAGAAAAGGAGGTAGGATTTTGTACATAAGACTGAGTGGATTATTGGTGATTCTTTTTTTTTTTTTTTTTTTGGGAAGGGGGGGCTTGTTATCTCAAATTATGCAATAAAACGTAACAAAATATTGCTGGTCCTATATACAGTATAATTTATAACATGTGGATATCAACTAACTTTAATTAGTTAAAGTCTTAGGAAGTGATATCCAAGATCTGAAATCAAATCTCGTCTACATCATTGTCTTTGTGGCTCTCTCAACACCATACATATATTAATTGATACTCCGTATATACTATAGTATCAATATGTCAGCATCACAAAGTACATAGAAGTATATTACATTTAGAAATTCAAGAGCATACAATATGCTAAAATGAATTATGTTCTCAACAGCTTGGTGAAAAATTGATGAATTCCTTAAAATAGTTCAGCGTATTCTTGATTGCAAAATTGCTGTTAATGCTTGGTCACATTGTGTGCCCTGTAGTTGAGGTTACATACCAGAAATAGCAATGGTTTTTATGAAGATTTTATACTTGCAAGGTTCGTATAATTATTAATAATCAAACTTAGAAACCATAAAAGAAAAACATTACAAGTAATTACGAAAGTAGTAGTTGTTTTTCTAAAATACCAGATGGTCCAAATCTAACAACATTTATGAGCTGAATTAAGTAAATTGCTAACAATAATAATCAACACAACATTACATAATAGTATAATACATATACAAGTATATTCGATATAGCAATCAATTAGTCTCTTCATCTTCCCTAATCACAACTGGTTAATCTTTCACTTCGAACAGTTGAGAATCAAAGGACTCTTCACAAACATAAAATAAAGACATGCTAATCAGAGTAATCACCCTTAAATGCAATCATTGCTGCCACTAAAATGCATCAAAAGAAAGTGCCATAGAAATAGATTATAAGATTATTAGACCCACAGCTGCTTTGTGGCCTCCATTCTTTCAACTAAACTGCTAATTTCAGATTGCATTCGAATCTTCATCTTGTAGTAATCAGAGTGCGTATTCTCAAGAATTCTTAGCTCCTCTAATTTCTTTCTTCTCCTTTCTTCAGCCTCTTGCAAGCACAACTTTGCAAGTTTCTCACTGTACTCTTCATCCAGCTTCACAGTTTTTGTCTCTACCATTTGACGATATGTATCCACCTCTTTTCTTGCTTCATCTGCTCGATTCTGGAACATCCTGGCTTCTGTTTCCTTCAAGCGGATAATACTTTCCATGCTGTCAAATCCATCCTTGTTTGACAAATTCCCAGACCACTCGTTAGCTAATTGTCGCTCACTTGATAAATTTGGCTTGGAACTGCTTTGATGGAAATCATAAGAACGCAAACCTTGCAGCATGGTAGCAGAGTTGATGAAACTAGACTTTTGAGCCAAATTGGAGGATAGAGAAGGGAACACATTATCTCGACGACGCCCTTGACTGGCTGTAAGTTCATTTGCCCCAACACCAGTAGGAGCAAAATCTGCTGTGTCCTCCTTGTCTGTGACAGAAGAAATCCATGAACATTTAAGTAACCAGTTGGACAAATTTTATAAACTTGTAGACAAGTTTCATATTAACTTGAATAGATTTCATCAAAAGCAGTAAACAATATCACCTCTGTCAAGCACAGAAGTTATGATGAATTCAAACTTTTAGCTAGTGGTACAGGGCCAAGAGCAACTTATCAGACAAATATGCTGGCAACGTTTTTTGTTCATATTGCCAATAAGAATATAAACTTTTATACAACATCAATTATTGAAACACTATGTCATAATATTACATTTACCAGAAGTCAGTCATCATCAACGTTGGCAAAGAATGGTCCTAAACACAATATAACAATAATATAATCGGAAGTCTGATTTACTCCCTCAATGCAACTTATATTCATAAAATCCCATGAAGATTCTTATAAAACAAAAAAAATTCATCAGTATTTCACAAATTGTGTATACAAAGATGAACCTCGACTCTTAAATAAATGAGTTTATATATTCCTGCTAACAATTGTACTAATTGATATGACAAGACTAATGGAAATTCTCCCAATTTAAAACACCCTTCTCATCCCTTGTTAAAGTCTCTCTGAAAAATCAAATTGCCTGGCAGCAATAGTCATCTTTGCTTACCAGCAATAAATCATCCTATTTTAGTGAATATTATACTTTTCAATTTTACACATTAAAAAACCAATTAACAGAGACCACATTAAACATTGATCCAGTTCTTTCACAAATCCCCAAATCCAAAATAACGGATCCCATATCCAAACCATTGCTCAGATGCAAGTGGAAAATAGCTTTAAGCTATTTATGTTAGTAAAATCGCCTATAAAAAATGACTATTCCCAGAACTTGGTAGACAGGAGACTAACAAGTATGCCATCTTAAATACAAAAATTGGGAATGGGACAAGCAGAAGACATTGATGAAAACAAAGTGTTCATAAAATAAAATACGTAGTAAGTTGGTTTTTAAAAAGAAATCTGTTATGACTTTTACCAGACTTGGAGGTGAAGAAATGAATAATGACATGGCAGGCATCTGACGGAGATATAGCCCTTCTTTCAAGCCTTGTGAGCAATTCAGCAGCTTTAAGATATAGCTCTTTGCCTTTTAGATCTTCACTTCCTTTAAAGATTCTTCTAACACAATCAAGCTCCTTAATCAGTGTCTGTATACCCCATTCTTTAGCACAAAAGATAAACACATCTTTGACAAATCCAAACATTTCGGAAGCATGACCACATCCAACACAATAGAATTGCATCTCAGTTTTGCCAGAGGACCCCTTCAAGCTAGGGCCAGGTCTTATTAGATTATTCTCAGCACCACAGGCAGCATGACACCAATGAGAGCAAGCATCGCATCCAACCCAACTACAGGTATTGTTGGCACAATCATAGTTATAACACACAGAACACATACACTGGCTGCAAAATCCCTTCTTTGTCGAGCAAATCTTACAGTCACAGTCATCCACAGGCAGCAAGGATTTACAGTTTATATTTCTACATCTCTGGAAGAAGAAAATTTCAGCCAATTCACTGGTTGGGAGACGAGCTTTCCCTGAAACAAAATCATTAAGCCCAAATTTTACTGCAACCAGAATCTCCAATTGTAGTCTGTCGGACTTAGAAAGAGTCTCCGTTGTAAGTTCTGACCTTTTTTCGAGCAAATTTTGCAGACAAACTAACTCATCTTTTTTCTCAGGTGATGCCATTAGACAGTTCAAGTACTCCTTAGCTGATTCAATAGCTTCAGCAGGAAGCTCACGAGATAATTGCGACATAACAGTAGCATGTTCTGTAATGACATCACGAACAATCCTTTCTCCTCTGGAAAGCTTGTGTCCTTTCATATCCTCCAAATTATTCAGCCCCTGGTCCAATGATTTACTCATGGAGTCAACAAAGCACAAATCAGTTCTTGGCTTGGCAGGCAATTCTGAGGGAAAGAAAGAACTAGTATCTGAGGCAGCAGCCCTATACAGACTGTTACCTGGATCCCTATTAAAAGTATGGGATCTGTTCAACAAAGTATAAGCTACACCACCACCACCGTGATTTGATAAAGAGACCCCATCTCCAATTGGCTTAAAACGACTATGAACAGAACCATTGGTTCCTTCACCACAATTCCAAATTTGATCAGTCTCCCTCCTACGACTACCAACCGAATTCTCATAATAATCAGTAGAATTGTGAGTTAACGAGCAGCTAGGGTTATGTGAAAATGGGTGAGAGTAAGAGTATGATAACGAAGCAGCGGTAAAATCATCAGAGCATGTTACTTGGGTATTATTATTGTTATTGTTATTATTATTTGAAAGGGTCAAAGACTGCACACTCCTACACGGCATAGGACGCACAACAGCATCACAATTTGGTGGTGCGGCATTTGATGCAGAAAGCGAAAGAGAAACATTAGGCAGAGCTAGAGACAGGTCAAGTGTCTGTGTCTCAAGCTTAGGCTTCTTCCAGCCATCTCCCTTTCTCCTGCCATCCTCCTGAGCTTCTCGTTTTGACGTACCGCCATCACTGTTGCTCAACTGTAAAAAATCCCTCTCCACCCATTTTTCCTCCTGGTTTGAATTCTCCTCCTGAGCAAGGGAAGGAGGGCGGTCACTGGGCCCAGGGAGAAAAGGTCTATTTTCATGGTTTTGTTCTGACATTTAAGGGTTATATTATAAACTTAAGCCTGCAAAACATTAGCAATTAGAAAGAATCAAATATCAAAGTAGGATCCAAAAATTACATAAAAGTCTTTTAGCTTAAGGATCTGAACAGAAAAATACAGCAACGAGATCGCTCATTTTAATCTTTCATAATTTCAGTACATAATAGTTCAATAATTCACCTCGGGAGGACCTTAGATTGGCTATAAACTCTATACTGACATGTAAATAAACAATAAACATTAAATTGTGAACTTGATATTCGATGATTATCAAAAGAAAAGGAATTAAATAAAAAAATAAATAAAAATAAAATAAGTCTTACCTCAGTAGCTGTTCAATTGAGGAAATCAGGAGAGAAAGCTGACAAGCCGCTTCAAAGAAAAATTCAGAGTACACTTCACTGGAAAAAATAAACATAAATGTGATAAATTGAAAACAACAAAAAATGGATTGATAAGGAAAAAGACATTCTTCAAGGCAAAAATAAAAACAATTACTAATGACGTCATAAATAATGGCAATAACAATACGAAGGGAATCATATTGAATAGACAACTAAGACAAGCTTTTCAAATTTTCAATGCATAAATGGAAGTATTATCAATTACTCTACTTTTGAATTAGTGTATAATTCGATTATCATTATGAATTAAGTTCCAGGACACTGACACCACTCAAACCCCTGTGCATCAACAACACTCTCATGAGCACACACAGCACACTGCAGACATTACCAATAGCAATAGCAGCCCTGACATTGAGGTAGCTTTGAACTTGTTGCACTTACATAGCCACACGCATACCCATTCAAACAATTCCTCACATGCACAAACTTCGACACCAAACTGCTAGTAAATCAAGCAGCATGGACCAAATAACAAAGAAAACCAAACAAGGTCCCAACTCCACCTATATACCATGCTCATTAATATAATCAGAACACAAGCAGTCAAGAAGATGATGGTGACGGTATCAAAACACCAGACATGTAAGATGAAATTTAAACATCAAAATAATATAATTGCCATATACTTGATCACTTTAATTAGGAAGCTACTCAAATAATCAGAAGGATATTTGAGAAACATATTTAAAACCCTAAACAGTATACTACTATTCATGAAATCATATAACACATTTTTATTATAATTTTCCTACCAAAAAGATATGTATCTAATCAATCTAAAATTAGGGGGAAATTCTAGTTATGTCATCCTACCAGAGGAATGCAATGCTATTAGGGACTTAGGGCTATTCACTGGAGTAAGGACTGTATTCCTAACATATTAAAGTAAAATCTAAACATTCTAGAGTTTATAAATAATACTTCCTCCGTTTTCTTTTAATTGCACCATTTGAGTTGAGCAAAAAATTTAACAAAGGTATAAAATAAATAAATAACCATGTGACTACTGACTACAAACAAAGGAGAGAAAGTAAAAGTGAGGTAACAAAGGTAAATATCAAATGTGAGTGAGGGTAAAATAGGTATTTGGTGTGCGAGCACAAACAAAAAAGTTATGAAAGTATACCCATTATTACAATGGTGCAATTGATATGCAACTTCCCTAAAAAGAAAATGGTGCAATTAACCAAAAAAAAAAAAAAAAAAAAAAAAAAAAAACGGAGTTAATATTAAACAAAATGGTGGTCTGGTCCAAGACCGGATAACTAAGGTTAACTTCCTTAACCGAGTCCGAGTAACATAGCCCTTAACTACTCATTTTTAGAAGTGCAAATGTACTGTACTCCTCATTTTCATTTACTCTCTGTTATAGATTGACTAAATTAATTATAATTAACACAATTAAGTAAGGAAGGCTTGGCAACCAATTGATTAATGATCGAACAGGGAAGATATTCAAACAGGGGATACAATAGCAACTTTAGGCTGCCAATCTCTAAGCAACTTGAGGTTGCAACTCTCCAAAGTTTACTCACAATTTTCTGGATAAAGACTACTACAAGATTAAACTATCATACTTATACTAATGGTCAAGGCTGACCTTAAGGTAAGTACATGTGACTACTTTACTAATATGGAAAAACCATAAATTAACATGGCTAAAGATGGTTGCTCCTCCTTCCTTCATTCTTCTTAATTGCTTTTGGCCTTTAGCAAAGCAATGCCTTCCCTAGATTTGTTGCTGCTGACTTCTTTTCCCGCGCCTCGTGTACACCAATATTGGTTGATTTCACCTTGTCCTCAAGGTGGAAGGAAGGAAATCGATCGACCATAGCTTGATACTCTTCCCATGTAGCTTCAAATGGAGGCAATCCGGACCACTGAATGAGAGCTTCTAGGACCACCCTGTTCCCTCCCCTGCACTCGCGAACATCTAACAATTTCTCGGGTTCGACCATTAGCTCCAATTCTGCCGTCAGTTGAGTCGGAATGGTTTGGCCGGTGATGTTGCTCCCCTTAGCTCGCTTCAATTGTGACACGTGGAAGGTGGGATGTAGTTTACATGAGCTGGCAGATCCAACTTGTACGCAACTTTGCCCACGCGTTGGAGGATCTTGAAAGGACCATAGAAACGGGCTGCCAGTTTCTCGAACAACCGTTTAGCCAAAGAACGCTGCTGATAAGGACGGATTTTGAGAAATACCTCATCCCCTACCTCGAACACCTCCTCTCGGCGGTGCTTATCCGCATTTGACTTCATGACCTGCTGTGCCCGAATCAAATTCAGCCATAATTCATCTAACATAAAATCGCGCTCCTTGAGTTGCTCCTCCAAGGACCCCACCGGAGTTTGTCCCGATCCCATCCTCATCAATTTTGGCAGATCCCTCCCGTACACCACCCTGAAAGGTGTCGTTTTGGTGGAGGTGTGTGGGGAGGTGTTGTATGCGAACTCCGCCCACGGCCCACTGAGCCCATCAATTGGGTTGTGCCGAGGCGAAACATCTCAGATACCCCTCTAAATTCTTGTTAACAATTTTTGTCTGACCGTCGGATTGAGGGTGATACGCCGTACTCCGATTCAATTGGGTACCCTGTAGCCTGAATAGTTCTCTCCAAACTGACTAATGAAAACTCTATCACGGTCGGAGACAATCAACGAAGGAAAACCGTGTAACCGTACGATTTCCCTTACAAACAGCTCTGCCACCTTCAAGGCGGTAAATGGGTGTTTGAGCCCCAAAAAATGCCCATACTTTGTGAATCGGTCAACGACCACCAAAATCACGTCCACCCCTTCCAATAGAGGAAGTCCCTCGATGAAATCCATCGAGATATACTCCTAAACGGCGGTCGGCACCGGAAGCGGTTGGAGGAGCCCCGCCGATCTTCTCTGAGAAGCCCGCTGGCAAACTTCGCGCACCCCCACGTATTCCGCCACCGCCTTGCGCATCCCCGCGTGAGCCACTCCGCTACCACACGGAGGTAGGTCTGAACCTCACCGTCGTGGCCTCCCATGGGGGAGTCGTGATACTCATGAAATAATTTGGGGATGATTTTGCCTGACTTAGGAAGAACAATCCTTCCCTTATATTGGACTCGGCCTTCTTTGAGAGTAAATCCATTGGGTCCAATCTCATTGGGCCGGAGGTTCCCCCTTATCTCAGTGATCCACTTATCAACTTCTAACTCTTTATCCAATTCTCCCCAATCAATATTTTGAGTGCAAACTAAGGCACTCAACTCGTATTGCTTTCTTGAAAGTGCATCCGCCACGCGGTTCGAAGCCCCGGGATTGTATTGAACCTCAAAATCAAACCCGACTAGTTTTCGCATCCAACGTTGATACTCATTGCCAATCTCATGTTGTTGAGTTATGTAACGAAGACTTTGTTGGTCAGTTCTTACTATGAAATGCCGACCCAACAAGTAGTGACGCCACTTAACTATAGCCAAACAAATAGCGATCATCTCCTTTTCATACACGGATTTAGCTTAAGCCCTTACCCCTAACAACTTACTATAGTAAGCGATGGGGCGACCCTCTTGCATCAATACCGCTCCTAACCCAAAACCAGAAGCATCGGTTTCGAGTATGAACTCCTTGAAATTTTGGAGCTTTCAGGGCCTGGTCTCAAAAAGTCTTGAAATTTTAGGGGATATATTTCAGGGTCATATAATGCCGTTTGGAACCATATATGATCATTATTTGTTGTTATAAATGTTCGTGGTAGGATTGAGTTAATGAAATTGGTCCAAGGTGTAAACTGGTAAATTGTTCGTTTAAAGTCAAATTGGATGGTTCCACCCACCTAATTGGACTCCCAGAGAGTATTAGGGACCATGGTAAATATTTCGGCATTTTTTATATCCGGGCGAAAAAAAAGTCAAAATATTCCAAAATTGAAGGCTAATATCTACACTTTTTGATAAATTTTGGAGGTTTCGGGACCCTGTGCCAAAAAGTCTTGAATTTCTATAGAATACATCTCGGGGTCATATAATGCCGTTTGGAACCATATATGCTCATTATTTGTTGTCATAAATGTTTGTGGTAGGCTTAAATTAATGAAATCGGTGCAAGTTGTAAACCGGTAAATTGGTCGTTTAAAGGCAAATTAGATGGTTCCACCCACCGAATTCGACTCCTGGAGCGTATTAGGGTCCATGGTAAACATTTCGGCAATTTTTATATTCGGGCGAAAGAAAATCAAAAAATTCCAAAATTGAAGGCTAATATCCACGCTTTTTTAGAATTTTTGGAGTCTTTAGGGTTCGGTTTTGAAAATTCTAGAAATTCTAGGTAATACATCTCGGGGTCATATAATGTCGTTTGGAACCATATATGATTATTATTTGTTGTCATAAATGTTCATGGTTGCCTTAAATTAATGAAATCGGTGTAAGTCTTTAACCGATAAATTGGTCGTTTAAAGGCAAATAGGATGGTTCACCCACCCAATTGAACTCTCGGAGGGTATTTGGGACCATAGTAAACATTTCGGCAATTTTTATATCCGGGCGAAAAATAGTCAAAAAAAAATTCCAGAAGTGAAGGCTAATATCCACGCTTTTTGAGAATTTTTGGAGTCTTCGAGACCCGATTTCGAAAATTCTTGAAATCCTAGGGAATACATCTTGGGGTCATATAATGTCGTTTGGAACTATTTATGATCATTATTTGTTGTCATAGATGTTCGTGGTAGGCTTGAATTAATAAAATCAGTGTAAGTTGTAAACCGGTAAATTTGTCGTTTAAAGGCAAATTGGATGGTCCCACCCACCCAATTGGACTCCTGGAGGGTATGAGGACCATGGTAAACAATTCGGCAATTTTTATATTCGGGCGAAAATTAGTCAAAAAATTTCAAAATTGAAGGCTAATATCCACGCTTTTTGGGAATTTTTGGAGTCTTCGATGCCCGGTTTCAAAAATTCTTTAAATTCTAGAGAATACATCTCGGGGTTATATAATGTCGTTCAGAACCATATAT